CATTTATTGGGGTACTATCACAATTAATTGAAAATGTCCATATCATCCATAAATCTCTACCTTTTTTTCCCGTATAGCTCGGTTAATTTTGCGACCCTTATATGGAGCTACATCCCTTTACCTAGGGAATGACGGTATATCTGTAGTTAAGTAAGGGCATTTCTCTGTTGACGGCGTTGCGGCTTTCTCCGTTATGGACCACGGTGCGGCGCGGAGAAAAATAACAAAAACCCGGCTCGGAAGGGCGGAAAAAGAAACGGAGAGGTGGGCCGAGGCTCAACAGGTGGTTGCGCCCCACGCAATGCGCGACACGCAGATTTACCTTCCGACTCTTTTTCCGCAATGCCGCTCAATCCGGGCGTGTTTCACCTCTGGCGCTCGGGCCCGTGCCGGCCACCGCCCCCGCCCCCGCCCACGCTGGCAGCCGACCGTTTATCTCTCGGCGCCTCCGATTTATCACTGTCCCTCGCAACTCGTCTCGGCCGGGCCCCGGGCCCCGTCACCGCCGGTGCCGATTGCGGTCCCCTCCGGTTCACTCCGCCGCATAATTAGCTCATATTAGTATTCATCAAATTGACCCTCAGAGTAAACACGCTTCCTAATCTCATCAGCTTATTTCGCACCGCACACGTGAAACCCCACGGCATAGGTGTGATTCCGGAGCATGTTCCGAGATCAAAGCTGACCGAACGATAGTTGCAGGTGAATTTGCACGCGATGTGAACAACCGTTGGGATACCGAATAAATTTTGGCTGAATTTTCGGTTTCATTTTACATGTTAAGCAAAATAGGATCCGTTACCAGTACACGGAGAAAAAAACCTCGTGCATGGGACCCGCAGCTGAGGTCATATGGATCTCTGAGGTTTTCGGATCACGCATCCAAAAATTTAACGTCCAATTGCCAAAGATGTGTGACCCGAACCCTTCGGTAAGTGCCTGAGTACTTTAGATGTCTGACCCGAACTTCGGCATGCAGGACCTCAAGTTTTCGGATGCGTGGTCCGAAAACGTTAGGGATCCAAATGACCCCAACTTCGGGTCCCATGCACGAAGTTTTTTTCTCCGTGTAAGAGCTACATATTAATGGAGAATTTGCAAGTGCCTGAAATTTGATGAATTTCGTGTTCAAGTGGAAACTATTGAGTGAACTGAAATTACGAGTAGAGCCAGATTTTAATGGAGAATTTGCAAGTGTCTGATATTTGACGAATTTCGTGTTCAAGTGGAAAATATTGAGTGAACTGAACACGAGGATACTTGGTTCATAAATTGAACAATTATTGGAGGAGCTACGATAAAATTATCTAATCTGCTAAAATGCATGTATTTAAATGAAAAATGACGTCAGGTCACTACGAGATGTATTTTTTCAATTTGATTATAAGTTCGCTGTCTCGGATCATATTGCAAAATTCTTGCAATCCCTCTTTTTAGGAGCCTGGCCACGATAATTAAAGGCACAATCATGAATTGTAAGGATCAAAAACGCTTTTTAACCGTCTTATATGACCACATTTTGCAATTTGGAACTACTATCTCTAGCCCATTCATAAAAGCACATCTTGGCATAGGAATAGCACATACGTTGTTTTTAGAATAAGCAAGAGAAAACCTTCCTGTAAAATGTAGTCCTTTTTTTCGGCTTGACTGGCACAGTTCTTTCTCAGCGATTCACCGAGAGTATTCTTAAGAGAGCTTCTCATTCAGAGGCATTCTTACGAGACGCTGACGTCTTGTGATCCTCAATTTTATGAAGATTCAAAAACCAACTCTCAGATCAGATGGTGCAAAATACAGTAGAGCCTGAGAATCTAGACACTGGGAGGGAATTTCAGAGGCTAGTATTTACCATGCATCGCTGCATGGCCTGGAGTGGTGTCGGTGGGTTGCGGGTTGTCGGGCTGGCAGGCGTCGCGCACTTGGCGGACGGTTTCGGTGCTTTTGCCGCTGGCAGTGTAAGGCACTGTGGTTTTCCCTCGACTATATCTTTGTTTGCCGCCGTAAGTAGTCTCACTTCGGCGTGGTTTCTCCGCTAATTTCTCTTACCCTCCACCCTCCCGCCTCGCGACTCATTCTCATCTCGGCCAAGTTCATTTCCCACAAATATTTGGTTATCTCATATCTCGCCAACTCTCCTGCCTCTGGTCCCACCCTCGCCTCGCATCAGAGCTCCCATGTCCTTTCTGCCCTTCGTCGACCCGCACCCCACACCCCCTCGCAGTTTTAACTTAGCAGGGATTCTTTGTCCGCGGGCCATTTTTGGTGCCATTTGTTTACTCGCTTGGATGCTCAACTTCCTTCAGATTCCTTCATCTTATTCCATTCGACCTCCCTTTACCTTTCTCCCTGTTTTCTCATTTTCTTACAACTTTAATTTTAGCACCTAGTCATTCGTTTTTCACCATCATCAATTCAGTAAGTGAGAATGACCTGCGGGCTGATTGTTAAAATCGATAGATAAAAGTATAGACAAAGAAGACTCAGGTAGTATGGAGCAATTCTATTGGTTGAAATTGATGGTTCCTGTAGACTAAGTGAGAAAACGATGGACTCGTGGGTTTCTCGTGGGTCGCCGTTAGTTAGCCTATCACCTACCTCCTTTGTCTATAGCACCCACCTGATTCCACTGATCGGATCCCTCTAGATCCCTTTTGTCTTTTTTGTCTAGCTGTGTCTATCAATTTCAATAGCGGCCATACATTGCTGGTATACACTCCTTGCATAAATCGTTAAAAACAAATTTTATAAAATTTCGCAAGATTTTTAAAATCAGGTATTTACGTAAATCGTTGATTTCACCACACAAAATTGAAACAACCGTTCAATAAATTCCAGAATATATTGTTGTCCAATTATTTAGTGACATGAGCTGACGTTCTGGTTGAAACCCCTGAAAAGCGATCCGACGAATATCTCAAGTATGATGTTGCCTGTTAATTGGTCCATGAGAAGATCTCTTACTGACGCCAAATGTCAGAATGAACGTATTGATGTTGAAAGTAACTGCATACATATGAACTAAATTGATACGGACTGGGCTACATTTTGCAATTAGTCGCTACAATTTCAAGCTCATCCATAAAGGCGCCCACCTATATAGGGAAACTTATGTCACATCTATATGCTGTTATAAAATAAGCTAGGAGAAACGAAGTCCAACTATAAAGCACGCTACTCTTGTGTACACAGCTCTTTTTGATTCAATTCATTTATACATAATTTCATTTAGCATGAATTTGTCCAACTTCGTGTCTAGTCATTCAAAAAATACATTTGGTGCGCAAACCCATGGCATGTTTAACACTAAGTCGGTAACAAACGTAGGAAAATTAAAAAAAAAATGCAATGATAAGGAGGTGTAACAAGGAGGAAAAAGAAAGTTTTTTCTAGAGGTTATGAACGAAAAGGGGGGAGGGGGTTGTAACAATAACAACGCACGGAAATGAAGAATATTTTGAAAATGAAGAAGCGCGGAAGACCCCTTGTGCGCATTTGAAGGCAGACATTAATAAGCCAATTCCTAAGGAAAAAAAGGAACATTCGAATGGTCCAGGAGTGCTAACTCTCCAACGACGATGCTCATTTCCTCCTGCTCTTCCCATTTTTATTTTTTATTATGATAACCGTATTTTTCTACTTCCGTCAGACATTTAAATGAGAGCAGAAATGAGATGGCGACTCGCTCGGAAAGGAGGAACACTTTCATTATTACAGAGTAATATTATTATTTTTATTGCTCCCAGTACCTGTATAATCCACACTAGGAGTTCATTCCCGTAGTCCAGCCCTCGTTTTGACTTCCCTCCTCCCTCGGAATGATGATGAAAGTAAATAAATAAGTATGTGCGGAGGGCGTTTGAGTCCCAGAATTTTTTTAGACGCATAAAAAAACACGAGAATGAACGATAAAATATAACCGCCTCTCTCTTCGTTACTGTTCGAGTCCCTCCGTCTGGGCTGGGGTAAGACTTGAATGGGCCACCTGCGTACTTAATTGCGATGCTTCTTGGCGACTTTTTTCGAGAGTGATTCACAATAATAACGCTCGGGACGTTAGCACATATGCCGTTTTACATATGAACATCAAATGGATTGCATTTTGCAATAAGAAACTACAATTTCTGACTCATCCGTAAAATTACCTGCCTCCTAAGGGAAACTATGGACACATGTTGTTTCTAACATGAGACAGAAATTGTAGTTCCTAATTGCGAAAGTAAGTTCAACTTTCTGCCTCACATCTCTGAAAGAAGGAGCTTTTGGTCATTTCACTTCAGTTTACTTACACCAGAGATACGTGAGATCAACAACGAGAACTCTGTTTTTAAGAGCACCGATAAAAATCGTTTTTATGCATAAATTGACTTTATTTTATAATTAGGAAACACTGCTACATCTGGTTTAATTTAAAAACAGTAAGTATGTCAGTAGTTTCCTTATGCATGGATATTCCCATGGACGTAAGTTTTCTCCTTGCATATAATTTAATAATTTGTGTAGTTTTTTATCCCAATTATAATTTGATATAATTCCTCGCCAAACTACTAAAAAAATATGTTTATTTATCACCATCAGGCAAAGATGAGCATCACCTCCATCATGGCAATATTCGGTCCTCGAAATTATTTTCTAATCAATTCCCTTCTTTGTCTTGATGTAATTAAGATCATTTATATGGGGTCTCAGACCATACTTAGAAAGGAATCTATACGTATGAAACATTTTTTCACGATTCTTAACACCAAGCCCAGAAGATACAGGGGTTTTTAATTTGCAAAATACGCTGTAAGCACTGGTGCTGTCGTATGGTTTTTGTCTTACGTCTCAATTCTGTGAAAATATAGTTACTGTTCTTTGGCTTCTAGCTGCAGATTTAATATTCGGTTCAAGACGTCCCCCTTTAAAAGAAAGGAAGAGATAGAGAAATAGGAGAAATGTATAAAAATAAATGTATTATAATGTAAAGGATGGGTGAGTAGAGGTAGATATTTGCTTACCTTGAGGCGCAGGCACAGAACTTGACGTGTAAGGATGACTGTGACCGTGCACGTGTAACGGGGGGAACAAGAAAAGCGGCCTCAAGTATTCCTGCACAGAAAACAATTACCCTCGCTAACATATATCATTAAAACAATGTATGCGGAACTAGTCCGTTGGATATGCAAGCCTAAATTGAATTACAACCAAAGTGATTACAACTCACAAAGAACGAGTTCACGACGGCACGGTATGGATATTTTAGCATTTTAGTCGTATTCGTCACTTGTCCTCATTCTAATTCCTGCTAAAAAGAATGAATGCCTCGTGTTAAACAATAGCAAGGGATAAGTGAATGTACGGAATGATTTCGCCGAATTTGAGTTTATCAGATTGAAAATTCACAGAGAGAAGTAATTTTTATGCAGTTATAAAGCACAGGAATATCGTAGATCATTCCAAAATGTTTAAGTTTATAGTTCTTTCTCGACCACACAAGATGTAATCGTATAACATTCCTAAGTTTCCCATTCAATCCAATCCAGCATTTTCTGTAATAATTTAAAAATTTTGCGCTCAGAAGGAAGCGTTTGTCTCATCCAAATCAACGACGGGAGAGTGTTCGACTTTTAAAGGTATGATGAGACATTTCTGATGTCTTCGTCAAAGAAGTGTGACTATTTGACCACACAACGGTACAGTTCGTGCAACTTTGATCACTGTAAGAACATTACAGTTGACTTGTTAAAACTCTTTTGATAAAGTACCAATCAACCGGAAAACTTGCCAAAAATAGTCCCTTCGTTATCTAAAAAAGTTATCAAACTGCAAGTCTACCTGATGTACTTGAAAATGCCAAGAGAGAATGTTTGGTTTTCATCGAAGATAAAGGTTTTATCGGAAAATTTGGTACAATTTTAAATAATTGAATGATTTTCTTCCTCGAGGGGGCAAGCAGATTGCAGAATTCATCTGTCTCTCAGCTCGAGGAGTGAGGGACGCCAGCGCCAGTGCGCCTTCATTTTTTCGCGTATGCAATCCGAACATTCATTGAGCATGTATAGTTGTATCTGGCCATCATAGATGAATTCATATGTTTACTTGATTGACCCCTCTCTTTCGGCATTAAGGATGTAACTGATGAAATTCAAATGTTATCGCATAACACTAATTTCTTCATTAGTTCTATACTTCTGGGGAATGCAAAAAAATACTAATTTGATAGCTCTAGGGATAAATATTTAAAATCCAAGGAGAATAGATCGTTCAAAAAAAATATACTATCCTTCTGATCAGATCAGAATGCAGCCCGTAAAATATGAATCTTCAAGAAGCAGAAAATCTTGAGGTTGAGGGATTTCGGGGTGGGCCAAAAAACGGCCTTGATCGATACCCCTCCTTTTAATACGTATGAGAATTAACACCGGTATCATTTCACGTAAACCCTACAATATTAAAGTCTCAAAAGAATTACAAGTCGAGTCATCGACCTCTCACAACGAGTTTAATCAAAGAGTGGTTTATATGATCTAGGAGCACTTAAACTCTCATTTAACGCCGTGCGAAAGGGCCCTCGACGAGAATAAATATTTCGAGAAAGCCCAGAGGCTCGGCGGCGGAGAAAGATTCGAGAAATTTGACGGGAGCGAGAATTTAATAACGTTACGGGCGGTCCCCTGACGGAGCTTTGCGGCGGCAATCGCACTGAATAAAGAGGAGGTGCGTTAATTGTTTCAACAGGAAAAATAAAGCAAAGTTTCGGGCCCGGGACCGGGCGCAGAAATTCAATGAAATTCGACGGCGACGAAATAGGAAAAGCGCGCGGCGAAAAACATGTAATATTAACACTGGTCTACGTGGAGGTATTAAGAGTTGCCCTTTAAGAAGAAATGAAATCAACTCGGCTCTTAGATCCATCCGAGCACGCACCACCAAAGGCTTCGTGATTTGGTAGCTAATTCCGAGCGTTCTTTCCCTCCTCCCCCGGTCTTTCCCGCTCCCAACCCCGGTTGATCCGGCTCCGCGCTCGGAATAATTAGAGCCCGTCCTCTCGGCTTTAATCCTATTCGACTGATCCATGATTTGGGATCGGACCCGGCGGAAAAAACTCCTCGAGTTGGTTTACTCCCCGGCCGGGCACTCGGCCCGGGCAGCTGAGCTCGGTGCTCGGGCCGTGGCGAGGCAATTAACAAATTAGTGGCCTCAAAATCAATTGGGATCCCGAAATTCGGGACAGGCTGCCGGAATATCCCGCGTGCTCTTCCTGAAAATAAAATAGGGTGCTTTTTTCACGTGCGAAACGGCAACATCCAGAGAGGCGTCCTTGATTGCTGCGGGCGCCCTGAAGAAAATCCGCTTTGAGGTCGAAAATTTGGAAAGGAGGAAAGTGGGATTCAGAGTCTCATGCTACGAATATATACAATGAGAAAAAGTGACAGGAATTTTGTGTTGATATGGGAAGTAAAACACGAAGTAACCTAATCGTGCGATTTATATATATCGGATAGTTTTTCTTTGGTTAGGTTTTGTTTAAGAGCAAGGCAATATAGGTAAGCTCGAATATATTATTTGGAGTGAGCCTAGGAGAAAGATTGGTGGAATCTATTTTTTTTTTTTTAAATGTATTTCCACCTTTTTTCCTTCCGGTTATTTACAAACAATTTTGGTTAACCTCGTTTGATACCTCAAAGAATCTACATTTACACCTTTCTTATCTTTTTTTCTCCTCCTTTTTAGTGCAGCCTAGAGTGGAAATGAGTGTTTTTCCCCTGATCCTTATCTTTGTTTCCTAATTTGTGCATTTTTTTTCTTTCAGTTTTGGCAGAGAGTTGAATTATATTTCTGATACTTTTCCGTAAGCTGAAAGAGTTCCACGTATCATTCCTAAATGGGTCTCGCAGAGTTCGCAAGTCTGACCACTGAACGTCTCCAGTCAACGATTGCGGCACTTAAGATACTATCCGTCATAATGCATTTTCGGCGCCTTCGGGGTCGGATGAGATCGGGGAAAAAGAGAGAAAATCCGGGGGAAGGATCGCCGGAAAACTGAGGAAGGCATCGTTCATTTCCTCCCCTCCGCAAATACGAATTATTGATAATTCGCCATCGACTTATTTATGAGCTCTCTGCCGCAGGATGGCCCTAATAAAACTGAAATTATATTTATCTACAGTATTTTTTACGATTTCCTGTTTTCAATTCAAGGAATCTAAATTCTTAAGAATTGTCTCCTGGCTTCCTCTGTCCCCGTTTCTTCATCTCAAACGTGTTCAACTTTATACGTTTTATATCCTCCCGGTTTCCTTTGCCACTTCCAGCCCTCCAGCTTATCTGTTTGTTTATCCGCAGGCGTCATTTATAGACTCGTGGGGAACCCTGACCACATTTTTTATCCCAAGTCTGTAGGACGGATCCTGTGCAAGAAGGAGCTAAAAAATCTAGTCGCAGAAGCCGAATATTTTGTGATATTATATGGCGTTGTACTTAAGAGTCGCGTAACCTGCCTCAGAACGCACGGTACTCACCTTAGAGTCTTTTGACTCTAAGGTGAGTACCGTGAGCAGCATATTGTGAGCAGCATATAAATTCTATGGAGGTAATATAATGAGATATTATATGATTAAAATCCCCGATTATGGGAGTCTGTCGTCAAAATGATTGATTCCGCTCGCTGAACAAGCATACGACTTTTCATCCCTTTTTTCTGATGGTTGATTAGCAAAGGCGGATCCAGCGTTTTAGAAATGCTTTTCTCCATTTAATCCAGTATGAATAATCGATTCTTTTTGGAGCACCTGGCCCCTCCGAGAATCGATACATTTAAATAGAATCAAACGGATGTTTGATTTTGATTCAATGTGCCAACTTCCTGGATCCGCCAATGTTGACGAACTTGGTTTCTTTTTTAAACCGACCGCTCATGATGGCTTTTACTTTACATCTATTATTTTATTTTTACCATTCATTTAACTAATTTTTACTATAAAACTAGGTATTCCATTAGATTTCATACTTTGCTTATGATTTTTGTTATGTCTGATGATGAGTGCAACAGTGGATTTCAAAGGCAGTATATACGTACATCCCAGCTCAAGGCTTTGATATTTGTGACGACTTTGTGGGGTTCCTAACTCATTTTATTCATTCGATTCAGTACGCCGACGTGCAAGACGGATAAAAAGGAGTACTATAAACGGGATTTTCCAGCTCGGGTGGTTTTTTGATTCCTCCATTTTTAAGAGCATGAATGAAAGAAGGTATCACGTCTGGAGGAAAGTAGCAAAAATTAGGAGCCTCGTAAGGCAAAAATAAAAGGCCGCGGGAGAAAAGGCTGAAACGGCCCCGGAACGTGTAAAATAGCGAGCTGCCTCGCACGATTACGGGAAATTCTAAGCGATTGAACTGGTTTATTTAAAAAGAGCATAAGTGCCGCTGGGATCGGGCGGCGCTCTGGTTTTTCTTGACTCGATTCGCAGCGAAAGGAAAAGGGGAACACCGCTGCTCTGTCGCGTCCTACGGAAGCCAGCAGTAACTCAAATCGAACTTGAACCGCGGTTTGCACGCGCCCTTATGCACTCGGAGGCTCAAACGAAAATGGAATTACTGCCCTGTTCCAGTGTTGCGGAGCCGCGAGGCGCGACTCCCGTCAAAAAACATATTCAGCTTAATGATAATAAGTTTTGAAGTTTCGAGCCGAGCGCTTTAATTACAGTAATGGGAGGTGCCCGAATGTTAATTACAATTTGGCAAATGAAAAAGGAGGAGAGGAAGGAACCAGCGCCTCGCTGGAGCTGCAGGCGTTACGGAATGGCATTTGAATCGAACGGAAAAGAAGTCGGGCCTTAGCGCCAGTCACGAATGAAAGTCGAGAATTTCGTACAGCGCCGTCTCTTCTTGGCGAGAATTATTCAAAAACTCCATCGCACCTTAAACGTTGTACCGTGTACAAGGTGGCCGCAAATTTAAGGTGATTTAATAGCTATTCAAAGTAAGGAAAAGTAATTGACGTTTTGTGTTAATATCGAGCGTTTGTGTTTATAACATGAACAAGCGGACAATATTTTTTGGTTAGTTTTTCTTTGGGCTGAATTGACCAAATCTTCGTGTTACAT